AAAAAAACCTGTAAAATATTTTCTAAAGGTTTATTCTGAGCCAATATGAGTGAACATGGCCTGGGAAACAGAGTCTCAAGAGGCCCTGAGAAAGTAAGCCTGGGGCAGTTGAGTTACAATTTTTCTTGTTTTTGTTTTGGGACAGGGTCTCAGTCGGTAGCTCAGGCTGGAGTGCAGTGACGTGACCACTGCTCACCGCAGCCTCCACTTCCCAGGCTCAGGTGATCCTCCAATCTCAGCCTCTCAAGTAGCTGGGACTGTAGGTGTGCACCACCATGACCGGCTAGCTTTTGTATTTTTGTAGAGATGCAGTTTCACCATGTTGCCCAGGCTGATCTTGAACTCCTGGGCTCAAGTGATCCGCCCACCTTGGCCTCCCAAAGTGCTGGTATTATAGGCATAAGCCACCATGCCTGGCCCACAGTTTGGTTTTATATGTTTTAGGAGGCAGGAATTGCTGATAAAATCATATCAATACACGGAAGATATACATTAGTTTGGTCTGAAAAGGCGGGACATTTCAGAGCTGTGGATTACAAGTCATAGGTGAGTTTTAGGGATGCTTTAGTTGGTAGTTGGTTGAAAGAGTTAAGCTTCGTCTAAAGACTTGAAGTCAGTAGAAAGGAATGCTTAAGTTCTGATAAGGTGGGAGGTGGTCTGCTGTCAGTCATGCGATGCCTTGTGAGAGTCAGGTTGGAAGGTAAGCCACATTATTCCGAGTTAAAAACCCATTTAAATGAGGATTTCATGGTTTGTAAGGTGTGACTTAACCCCTACCTTGCAATGGACTTAGGCCTTGTTTATAATTTAGTATCTTCCTGCCACAGTGTTTTGTCAGTCTTATATTGTTTCCTTTCCTTTCCTCCAAATTCAAACAAGTGTCAGTAATGATTCTTTTTTTTTTTTTTTTTTTTTTTTAAGAGGGAGTCTTCTCTGTTACCCAGGCTGGAGTACAGTGGCAAAATCTTAGCTGAAATGATTGTCCTGCCTTAGCCTCCCAAGTTCTAATGATTGTCCTGTCTCAGCCTCATGAGTAGCTGGGATTACAGGCATGGGCCACCACGCCTGGCTAATTTTTGTATTTTTAGTAGAGACAGGGTTTCACCATGTTGGCCAGCCTGGTCTTGATCTCCTGGCCTCAAGTGATCCACTTGCCTTGGCCTCCCAAAGTGCTGGGATTACAGGCGTGAGCCACCGTGCCCGGCCAATGATCTGTCTTTTAACCTTAATACTGGTCAGTTGTGCCTAAACTCCAAAAGCAAGGTGGTGTAATGGGGCGAGTCCAACCTCCCTTCTCATCATGGCCGAGAACTTGGTTTTTCAGGTTTCATGGGGGTGTCCTTGGCCAAAAGGTAGTCCATTCAGTCAGCTGGGGGGCCTTAGGGTTTTATTTTTAATTTACAGTACTAGTATATGAAAGTATTCCATCACGTTTGTGTATATAAAGACAAGGCTTGAAAAAACAATGATAGAACCTGATTTCTAAAAATATATCAGGCAGATTTTACATTTTGCTGTTTTTCTTATCCTCCCTCTTTTACTTTTTTCTTTCTCCCTTCCTGTCAGTGTGCATAGATTTTACATTTTACATTTGCAAAACCATACCAGAAGATACGGTATCCAATGCAACGTCTCTGGGTAGGTGGAGGAATGGCTGATCTCCTCGTCTTTGCTCTGCACATGGGAAGATAAGCTTGTAATGAATATTATCGATCAGTGTGCAATTCAATGGACTTTAGTTTTGGGAGCTAGACTTGGATTGCAGACCTGAAGTTACAATTGGCTCGTCCTTGTTTATGGGAGGTCAGCAAAGCATTTGAAACCACCTTTGCAAAAATTGTAACTGAAGAAATTATGACAGTGAAAGAGATCAGACCCAATCTTGCTTCTAACCTTTAAACTGTCCTTGTTCAATCCTGGGCATAGGTCGAACTAACCTTGGGAAGTAATTTATAGTTTGACTCTGAAACACAATTGATAATAGCCCTTTCCCAACAGTTATGAAGCGTCCAAAGGTTTCCTTGTGTTTCTATTTCGCTAAGTGAAAATGGATTTAAGTCACAGCCTGAGATTTTACTTATTTGAAAACACTACTGACGCAAGGCTAAACACAGCAATGAGTGTGTTCTGGCTGGGTGAGGTGGCTCATGCCTGTAATTCCAGCACTTTGGGAGGCTGAGCCGGGTGGATCATAAGGTCAGAAGTTCGAGACCAGCCTGGCCAACATGGTGAAATCCTCGTCTCTACTAAAAATACAAAAATCAGCCAGGCATGGTGGTGCACGCCTGTAATCCCAGCTACTCGGGAGGCTGAGGCAGGAGGATCACTTGAACCGGGGAGGTGGAGGTTGCAGTGAGCCAAGATCACACCACTGCACTCCTGCTTGGGTGAGTGCAAGACTCCGTCTCAAAAAAATAAAATATACAGTCCATCTCCAAAGATTTTGGAAGCATAGACTATTTTGTTGGGACAATGCAGGGTGCCCTACGGCAGTACAGCCAATACAAGACCATCCCAAATGAATTGTTTTGCATTACCACAAGCCAGGAAACATTTGTCTTTAATCAAACCTAAGGCAAGTCACTACTCTTGGGAATTCAAGTGTGCGGCAAATGTGTAGATACTGGCACCTGAATCAGTGTCTGTCGTCCATACCCACAGCATCTCCATAGGACCAACCCCAGCAAACAGGAAGGTCTCCCACACAGATTTCTCTACCTTTCATTTACAATATGCAGTCTGGATTCCCATTGTCAAACACAATTCTGTTGGGAAATCCTTTCTGCTTGAGCTTATTACCTTGAGGTCTCTGAATGAGAGAGCAAATTTAACAGGTCTCTCTGGAACCTAGACTTGGTGTTTAAATCCCCTCAGTGCCTGTGGTGGTGCATTTATTCCTTAAAGTCTGTCACATTTTTCAATGGCTCTGAGAGTTGCACATGAATTGTACACTACAAGTCATCATCATTCTCCTAGGTGCTCTGATGCCTGATCAACTCAAACGCCTCTCTCTTTGAGCTGTGTGTATCAGCAAGGGCTGTTAATGGACAGGGTGTTTTTGCAGTTCATTAACCTGATGACCACAAATCTCAGGCTTGAGGATGAGTCAGGCACATGGATTTCTAGGCAAAGTAGGGATCATCCAGACTCTAAGAATCACTAGTTTCCTGCATGGAGACAGGAACGGGAGAGTAGGAAAGTCTAACACAGCAGGCATCTCTCATCCAATCACAGCATCGTCCTAGCTGTGTCCTCCTGAGCTATCCCTAGCCCTGGTTCAGCATTTCCATCCACCTGTGAAGGATTCCCCACCACACCCCATTTAAGGACAGGTACTTTTTTGTAAGACACAATAAAAATTACTAAAAAAGGAGAACAGGGAATAGCAGACACACAAAACACAAAGCCAAATGTTTATTACATCCGATAGACATAAAATTACCCTGTCAAATTGCTATAAAAGGTTTTAAATGCCAAGTCAATTTTTAAATACCTATTTCACTACAGACAGCCAAGAGTATAACTTGCTTCAGTCCATGGGTCTATCTGAGTAGCCTGGAACTGCAGGCCAAAGCACTGGCCTCAGAAGGCTAAATAGGCTATTGGACTTGACGTTCCATGAGAATTCACACAACCCTCTGCAGAACTTGCCCATCTCCAATCCCTCAAAGCTCTTCTTCACTGCTCTCCTGGGCACACCCATACCATCTTCTGTAACTACGGGTCTGTCTTCACAGCAGACTAACATTCTTGAAGCTAGGGACTATGATCTTCTTCACCTTTAGATTCAGTGCCTAACTATATCTGGTACTGAGTATTTGTTCAACAACAAAAAAATCTGTAAGTTAAGGATACCAGCAGCGCTTTGCTTTCACTTTTATTTACTTTTTTTTGTTGGTTTATTATTTTTAAAATTGGGTTTATCTCAACCCAGAAAATAAGAGATAATTTACACACTGTACTGACATTATTTTACCTGCAAACCAACCTCTCCAATTCAGTTCAAATTCAAGTATTCTCATGTCTTTTCTACTATTCCAGTTGTATTTCACAAAACATGTAAATCATATGGCTATGTCAAGCCATAATCAAGTTTATACAGGGTAAACTAACACCTGCAAAGAATAGAAAGGGTTTGCTGGACTATGACATACCACAGAATGGCTTAAGATTTGATACATTTTAGTGGTACTAATTCTTGGGAAACATCTGTTCACGTAAACCCCAGCAAGGGCTAGTCATCAAGTGCTAGCAATGGGAGGGCAAATGGTGAGGGGTTAAGTGATGTAGTCATTTGAAAATGTCTATAAATTCTCCCTTCAAGAGGTGGAGCTTAATTCTCTTTACCCTTGAATATAGGCTAGACTTAGTGACTCCCCACTAACAGAATAAGGCAAAACTGAGAGTGTCACTTCCACAGGGAGGCCATTGAAAGGCACTGTGGTTTCCTTCTTGCTTTCGTACTCAGCCACCATGCTGTGAGGACACTCTATGGAAGGGCCCTCAAGGAGAGGAACTGGGGCCTCGGCCTAACAGCCAGGTCAGTAAGCAGAGAAGTCAGCCCCAAAGTGTCAGATGACTGCAGCCCCAACCAGTATCTTGCTTGCAACCTTATACTCTTTGCCTTATACTCTTCGCCAGGACCACCAGCTAAGCTGCTCCCAAATTCCTGATCCAGAGACCTGTGAGATAAATATTTGCTGTTTTAAGACATTAAGTTTTGGGATGGTTTATTATATAGTAGGTAACTAGTATTGCTGGTGAGCCTTTGGGGGGTTTATGTGAATTCATCATGCCTTGGGAAAAGCAGGGTAAAGTTGAGGAAAGAAAGGGGTATAAATGACTAAAAGAGTAGATGCTGCCTTGTTCAACAAGTGCTTAAAACCAGAGTTAAGTGAGCTCTGTGAATATATGAGAATGACTATTAAACTCTATAGCCATTCTATTAGTTCTTTTTATCAATTAAAGATAGTATGAAAGGAGAAAAAAAAGCTCCAAAATTGTTAATAGCAACTTTATTGTTTCACTGGTGCAAAAAAAAAAAAAAAAAAAAAAAAAAAAACATAATTGTGATGCATTTCCTGCTAAATTTACAATGAAGGTGATACATAAATTATATAGATCACAAATTTTCTTTTATACTATTTAAAACCGAATTATATTGATAAATATGTCCAGAGGACAACATAGGTTCTTAATGGATGGCTGAGTCCAAATATGCAAAATATAACTTCTCGTTTTGACCATGGTGTTTTAAAATTCTCAAACATGCATTAATATATTCTAGTTTTAGGGAAAATCTTACACATGGCCTTATCTTGCAATTTAGGGAAAAGCCCAAGCTGAATTTCACATACAGTATTCCTTTCTTCTAAATTAATCGCAAATTGGACTAAAGAACAAAAGAGACAGACACTTTTGGGTTAGTACTCCCCAATAATGAAGAAAATACACAATCAACAATGAAACAAACAAAAAAAAAAGGAGAGCTTCATTAGTAGCCAAGATAAGTGCTTGTGGGTTTTTTTGTTTTTTTTTTTAACAGATCACAGGAATTTTAAATAGCAGATCAGTCATGCTACTTGGGGTGATCAGACAGACTTGAACACTTACCAAGTGAATAATTTTATTAAGGTCCTGAAGGTGAGTGTCCGGAGGTGCTGGGTAAAACACATCACAGGTAAGAAACGGGAAACCTACCTCAGCATTTCTGAAAGGCACAATCTATGGAAGGAAAACCTAGCATAATAAAACCCTCACTGGATGTACATGGAAAGGAGTATGGTGAGCTATTTCTTTTTTAAAGGATGAGACCTTCATAAATTGGCCCCTCGGATTCTGGTGATTCCCGCCGCAAGCGCAAATGCTCCAGTGTGTTATGAAAATGTTTGTTAATCTGCTCTGTTTCTTCACTGGATTCAAGATTCGGGAGGTCTTCTCGAATCTTTTGGATAAGCTGGTTTAAAACCTGAATTGTTACCTACAAAAGAATATGTACAAATTTATGATCAAGCACATACCACACAAAATGAAAGACAATTTATTTTTATTTATTTTTTTAAGATGGAATCGCACTCTGTCACCCAGGCTGGAGTGCAGTGGCGAGATCTCGGCTCACTGCAACCTCCGCCTCCCGGGTTCAAGCGATTCTCCTGCCTCAGCCTCCCCAGTAGCTGGGATTACAGGCATGTACCACCAGGCCCAGCTAAACACAATTTAATAAAATTGCTTTGAGGAGCTTCTGCTACTCTCATCAATTACCTAAGTAATTATGAAAAAAGAAAGATGGGGATACGATTCCTAGTTTGAACATCTACTGACTATCAAAGAAACCCAAACAACCCTTTAAAACAAGCAAAATTGGTCCCAGTGCTGTGGCTCATCCCTATACTCCCAGCACTTTGGGAGGCTGCGGCGGGCAGATCACTTGAAGTCAGGAGTTTTAAGACCAGCCAGGTCAACATGGTGAAACCCCATCTCTACTAAAAATACAAAAATTAGCTGGGTGTGGTGCTGGGCACCTATAATACCAGCTACTCAGGAGACGGAGGCATGAGAATTGCTTGAACCCAGGAGGCAGAGGTTGCACAGAGCTGAGATTGCGCCACTGCACTCCAGCCTGGGTGACAGAACGAGACTATGAAAAAAAGAAAAAAAGGAAAATTTTATTTAACTTACAAATCTTGACCAAAACTGTATTGCTAAAAGGATACTGCATTTAGGAATTATCTTTTTTTTTTTTTTTTTTTTTTGAGACAGAGTCTTGCTCTGTTGCCCAGGCTGGAGTGCAGTGGCATGATCTCAGCTCACTGCAAGCTCCACCTCCTGGGTTCATACCATTCCCCTGCCTCAGCCTCCCGAGTAGCTGGGACCACAGGCACCTGCCACCACGCCCGGCTAATTTTTTGTATTTTTAGTAGAGACAGGGTTTCACCATGTTAGCCAGGATGGTCTCCATCTCCTGACCTCGTGATCTGCCCACCTCAGCCTCCCAGAGTGCTGGGATTACAGGCGTAAGCCACTGCACCCGGCCTTTTTTTTTTTTTTTTTTTGAGACAGAGTTTTGCTCTTGTTGCCCAGGCTGGAGTGCAATGGCACAATCGTGGCTCACTGCAGCCTCCACCTTCTGGGTTCAAGCGATTCTCTTGCCTTAGCCTCCCGAATAGCTGGGATTACAGGCGCCTGCTACCATACCCAGCTAATTTTTGTATTTTTAGTAAAGATGGGGTTTCACCATGTTGGCCACACTGGTTTCGAACTCCTGACCTCAGGTGATCTGCCCGCCTTGGTCTCCCAAAGTGCTGGGATTACAGGCGTGAGCCACTGTGCCCGGCCTAGGAATTGTCTTAAACTAGAACATTATGACAAATTAGGCTATTACTTGACATCTGTAAATTATTTTATATTTTTCAAATGAACAGTGATTAAAGTATCAGAATGATAAACTTTTGTACATATCAAATTTCCTGAGTAGGAAGGGAAAATGTTAGTTTATTAACAACACTTTACTAATTCACTTACCGCATCATTTTCCTTTTCATAAAAATAGATATATCTGTTCAGAATTTCTATAAAAAGCTGCACTTGTAGAGAGGGGTCCATGCACTGATTTGCTATTTTTAGAGCTTTCTTTAGGCACTCCATTACCCTCTTGCCTCCATGAAGCTAAAATAAAAGGGCAGGGGGACAGTGAAGAGATTAACGAAACGTCCCGTTTTCATACAAAGAAACACAATACTACCGTGCTCTTTTGTGTTCTAAAGGGACACAACAAATTTAAATCCTTTTCATTCTCCTACTTCTTTTGAAGTATACAGCTGTATTTTTTTAAAAACAGGTAGTGGTTTGAACTTGCTATGTTACAATATCCTCAAAGCAGAGGCTTCACTACAGGATGAGACTCTTTTTTAACAAAACAAAGCAATTCTCTTCATCAGATTTCCAGGCACCCCAAATGTTTCACCTCCAGAACACAAGGCCATGGCAACTGATCCCTGTTATCAATCCTGTCTGCTATCACGCAGTCAGGAATGACCTTACCTCCTCCCCATTTTTGTCCGTGTTTCTGCCAGACCAGAAGAGATGTGCACAGGTGCTCACAGCTCGGCCCTGATCGGGTTTCTTCAGAAGTTTGGATGCAGCAAGGGCACACTGAGTCCTCAGAGGTTCGTGATTCTCTTCACTGAAGCACTTCATCCTTTCAAAAGTGCCAATGATCAAGGTGATGGCAGCTAACTGTGCTTTGGAATCGCTGATTTCATCTTCATACAGAGAAAAGGCCTAGTGAACACAAAGCAGAAAGGACTTTCAAGAACCAACTCATCCTCTAGTTGAGCATTTTCCAAAGTACTTCTCACCGAACCTGCATCCTGTGAGACTTCTGCAGCCTTCAAATCAGAAAATGCTGTACCCTCTCGAGAGCCACAGGACACAGCTGAGATGGTAAAAATGCTAAAAAGTTGCAATAAAGAAACTTCTTTCAACTTTGTTTAACCAGGGTTCCCAAACTGAATTTTGGGAATGGAATGCATTTCCCAAATTTCATGTTCCATGGAACACTTTTACCATGACCCACTTGGAAATCTTAGAGTTCATCAGCAAATGATCAATACCAGTCAATTATGACAATAATATTAAGAGGTTCCATGATGGTGGGAAGGTGGTAGTTACATATTCAGTAAAAGAGTAAATTCATGTCATTACCACCATGCCTGCAAACAAGCAACTGAACTCAGTAGAGCTGACGTGACAACACAGAAAGAACAGATCATCACCTGGGACATGAATTCATATGCGACTGTTTCATGATTTTCAAAACCAATTTCCCCAGCAGCTAGTGCTCCTTGAAGAAAAAGTCTTAAGGGCAATTCTGCCAGCTCTGCTTTGATCAAAGCACTGATAGTCTGGTGGGCAAATGAAAAAATCTTCTGGCATTTCTTTTCCCATTTGTCATCCTAAAACAAGAAAAAACATTTTAAGTTACCTTAAGTTCAAAATTAACTTGTTCCATGATTCCATTTTATTTAAAACTTTTAATAGAACAAAATAGTGAAAACGGTAAGTTGAGCGCAGTTTTCCTGTCATTTTCCTTCTCTGTTTCAGTTATAGGGCACACAAGTAAATCAAGCAGGATGTCTTCTCAAAACATCATTTGAAGTTAAACTGCCTTTGCAATGTTAACGTATTTGGTATTTGTTTTTTCTTTTTGAGACAGTTTTGCTCTTGTTGCCCAGGCTGGAGTGCAGTGGCGCAATCTTAGCTCACTACAACCTCCGTCTCCTGGGTTCAAGTGATTCTCCTGCCTCAGCCTCCAGAGTAGCTGGGATTACAGTGCCTGCCACCACGCCCAGCTAATTTTATATTTTTAGTAGAGGCAGGGTTTCAGCAAGTTGGCCAGGCTGGTAACTCCTGACCTCAAGTGATCCGCCCACCTCAGCCTCCCAAAGTGCTAGGATCACATGCATGAGTCACCGCACCCAATCTGTTTTTTCTTTCCTTTTTTTTTTTTAAGCTCTGTTACCCAGGCTGGAGTGCAGTGGTGTGATCACAGCTCATTGCAGCCTTGAACTCCTGGGTTCAAGTGATGCTCCCACCTCAGACTCCCGAATAGCTAGGACTACAGGCTCACATCATCATACCTGGCTAATTTTTATTTTTTTTGTAGACACAGAGTCTCATTCTGTTGCCCAGGCTGATCTTGAACTACTGGCCCCGAGCAAACTTCCCGCCTCAGCCTCCCAAACTGTTGGAATTACAAGCATGAGCCATTACAACTGGCTGATATTTGTTTTTTCTGATTCGTAAGTAACATTCCAAAATTGGAGAAAATTAGAAAAATACACAAAATCATCTACACATCATCCCTAAATCTACCATCCAGGGATGATCATTGGTAACATTCTGATGCTAAACGTCTTCCTTTCTTTCTACGTAAATGTAACTGAAATTTTTGTGTGTGGTTTTCTTTTTTCTCTTTGGCACGATCTCCGCTCACTGCCACCGCTGCCTCCTGGGTTCAAGCCATTATTCTGCCTCAGCCTTCTGAGTAGCTGGGATTACAAGCGTGCCACCATGCCCCCGCTAATTTTTATATTTTTAGTAGAGAAGGGGTTTCACCTTATTGGCCAGGCTAGTCTTGAACTGCTGACCTCAAGAGATCCACCCACCTCGGCCTCCCAAAGTGCTAGGATTACTGGCCTGAACCACCGCATCTAGCCCTTATTTTCTTACTTGAGAGTTAAACAAAATCGATTCAAGTAATTTGTATGTAATTTTTCTTTCTTTTTTTTTTTTTTTGAGACGACGTTTCACTCTTGCTTCCCAGGCTGGAGTGCGATGGCACGATCTCGGCTCACCACAACCTCCACCTCCCAGGTTCAAGTGATTCTCCTGCCTCAGCCTACCGAATAGCTGGGATTACAGGCATGTGCCACCACACCCAGCTAATTTTGTATTTTTAGTAGAGACGGGGTTTCTCCATGTTGGTCAGGCTCATCTCAAACTCCCGACCTCAGGTGATCCGCCTGCCTCGGCCTCCCAAAGTGCTGGGATTACAGGCGTGAGCCACCGCGCCCAGCTCTAATTTTTTGTTCACTTATTTTATCCTAACAATTTTCCCGATACTAATTTAAAATCATTGTAATCACTAGAAAATATTACAGAGACTGGCTATGGCATAATTTATTTATTCCCTTTTAGAAATAATCTCTAATATTACAACGAATGTTCTATATACACTAAGCTTTATTGAGACCCTAATTATTCCCTTAGTATAAATTCTTGGAATTCCACTTGGAGTAAAATTATTGGATATTTTAACACCCTACCTACATGTTGCCAACTTCCTAGAAGTATTACAGTAATTCACACTGCCAACATTAGATGAGAATGAATTTTCATCACACCATCGCCATTGCTAAACCTTATTTTTCATTTCTCTTTGCCAATTTGATTTCTTAAAAGGTTCGCTGTTGTAATTACAAGCAAGGTTAAATATTTTATCATGATTGACTATCCAAATTTCTTCTTGTTAAAGCAATCAGTTCTTTTCATTTCTAAAAGATGGCAACAGGCAGGGCATGGTGGCTCATGCCTGTAATCCCAGCACTTTGGGAGGCCAAGGAGTCAGGAGGATCACTTGAGCCCAAGAGTTTCAGATCAGTCTAGGCAACACAGTGAGACTCTGTCTCTACAAAAAATAAAAAATTAGCCAGTGTGGTGGCACATGCATGTAGTCCCAGCTACTCAGGAGGCTGAAGTGGGAGGATCACTTGAGCCTAAGAGTTCAAAGCTGCAGTGAGCTGTAATCATACCACTGTATCCCAGTCTGGGTGACAAAGACCTTGACTCCAAAAAAAAAAAAAAGGGTGACATTGACAGTCATAGACCTTGGTGCAGTGTATGGCAACACAGTAAGTAATGCTAGTAAATAAGTAAAGGCTAGTTACTTTTATTTATTTGCCCTAAATCATTTTGATCCCAGAATTTTTTCATCTTATAACTGAAAGTTTGCATTCTTTGGCAACTAGTGTTCTAGTCTTTGCTTATACAAGTTCAACCATTTTTTAGTGACTGGGTCTCCCTCTCTCACCCAGGCTAGAGCGCAAAAGAATAATCATAACTCACTACAGCCTCCAACTTCTGGGCTCAAACTGTCCTCCTGCCCTAGCCTCTTGTTTTTGAGATGGAGTCTCACTTTGTCACCCAGGCTGGAGTGCAGTGGCGCAATCTCGGCTTACTGCAACCTCTGCCTCCCGGGTTCAAGTTATTCTCCTGCCTCAGCTTCCCAAGTAGCTGGGTAACAGGCACGTACCCTCACGCCTGGCTAATTTTTGTATTTTTACTAGAGACGGGGTTTCACCATTTTGGCCAGGCTGGTCTCAAACTCCTGATCTCAGATGATCCACCTACCTCGGCCCCCCAAAGTGCTAGGATTACAGGTATGAGCCACCACACCCAGCCCTGCCCTAGCCTCTTGAGTAGGTAGGACTACAGGCATGTACCACCACACCTGGCTAATTTTTTAATTTTCTTTTTTTTAGACAGAGTTTCACTCTTGCCCAGGCTGAAGTGCAATGGTGCATCTTGGCTCACCGCAACCTCTGCATCCCGGGTTCAAGTGATTCTCCTGCCTCAGTCTCCCGAGTAGCTGGGACTATAGGCATGTGCCACCACGCCCAGCTAATTCTGTATTTTTAGTAGAGATGGGGTTTCTCCATGTTGGTCAGGCTGGTCTTGAACTCTGACCTTAGGTGAACCGCCTGCCTTGCCCTCCCAAAGTGCTGGGATTACAGGTGTGAGTCACCACAATCGGCCTTTTTATTTTTTAATAGAGATTGGGTCTTGCTATGTTACCCAGGCTGGGTGAATTCAACTTAAAAAACAATTCTACATATAAATGAAGTCATGCAGTATTTGCCTTTCCGTGTTTGGCTTATTTCACTTAGAATACTGTCCTCCAGATTAATCCCTATTGTCATAAATAGCAAGATTTTCTTCATTTCTATAGCCGAATATTATTCTACTATGTAGAGAAAGTATGTACATATATATATACACACATACATACACATATATACACACACATATATACAAAACACAATTTCTTTACTCATCTATCGACGGACACTAAGGTTGTTTCCGTATCTCAGCCATTGTGAATAATGCTGCAATAAACATGGGAGTGCAGGTATCTCTTTGAGATACTGATTTCCTTTCCTTTGAATACATAACCAGATGTGGGACTGCAGGGTCACATGGTAGTTCTAGTTTCAGTTTTTTGAGGAACCTCCATACCGTTTTCCATAATGGCTATACTAATTTATATTCCCACCAATAATAAACAGGGTTCCCATTTCTCTACATCCTTGCCAACACTTGATTTTCTGTCCTTTTGGTAACAGTTATTCTGACAGATATGCGGTAATATCTCATAGTGGTTTTGATTTGCATTTTCCTGATAAATGATGTCGAACATCTGTTCATATACCAGTTGGCCATCTGTATGTCTCCTTTGGAAAAATGTCTATTCAGATCCTTTGCTCATTTTTAAATCAAGTTATTCATTTGCTTGCTACTGAGTTGCATTCCATATATATTTTGGATACTGACCACTTTTCAGATGTACAGTTTGCAAATATTCTCCCCTATTCCATTGGCTGTCTCTTCACTCTGCTGATTGTTTCCTTTGTTGTACAGAAGCTTTTTAGTTTAATAGACTCCCACTTGCTTATTTTTGCTTTGATTGCCTAGATTTTTGGTCTCACATCCAAAAAAATCACTGACCAATGACAAGGAAGTTTTTCCCTATGTTTTCTTCTAGGAGCTTTATGGTTTCAGGTCTTTAATCCATTTTGAGTTCATTATTATATATGGTACAAGATGAGAGCCCAATTCCATTCTTTTGCATGTGGATATCCAACTTTCCCAATACTATTTATTGAAGACACCATCCTTTTCCCCTTTGTGTATTCTTGGTGTCCTTATCAAAGATTAGTTTATTGTACATGTATGGGTTTATTTCTAGACTCTCTATTCTGTTCTGTTGGTCTATGTGTCTGTTTTTATGCCAGTACCATATTGGCACGCTGTCTTAATTACTATGGCTTTTTAATGTAGGCTGGTTGCTATTTTTATTGTTATATTCACAAATTTCTATCCGTAAATGCTGGTAAAGAGTGAATGATAAGCTGGCCTAATACAAATTGGCCAAAAGTTGCTGTTTCATGCTGGTAGGTCTACTTAATACATCCTTTTTTCTCTATTATGAGAAAATCAAGTCCCTACTGAGGCCTGGTATGTGGGCTCACACCTACAATCCTAGCACTTGGAGAGGCTGAGGCAGGAGGATCACTTGAGGCCACAAGTTCGAGACCAGCTGATCAACATGGCAAGACCCTGTCTCTACTAAAAATACAAAAATTAGCTGAGCATGGTGGTGCACACCTGTAATCCCAGCTACTTAGAAGGCTGACACACAAGAATCGCTTGAACCCAGGAGGTGGAGGTTGCAGTGAGCCAAGACTGAGCCACTGCACTCCAGCTGGGGGACAGAATGAGACCCTATCTCAAAACAAACAAACAAACAAAATTAAGTTACTGAGGTTGTTCCTTAACATTAACCTGACTGTCCAACTTTCAGGTACATGAGCTTGAGGTATTTTCTTCAAAACTACACCGTGAAGACTCAAGCCATGATTCTGGTTTGAGGAAGAAAAAAGCTCATAAAAAGTTGCCCACAACTCATGATATTATGCAATTATATGCCTTTAGAGAGAAATGACTGCAATGCTAGACCCTCTCCTTAAGTTTTAAAGCTAACCTGAATTAGAACTTAGGAAAGAGTTTTAGCATAAATTCACACTGCTTTAATCTTGCATTTCTAAGTGCTTTTTATGTGATCCCTCAGTTAGTATGTGATCCACCAACATCACCATTAGGAACACTTAGCACAGGATAAGTAACAAATTCAGAGTTGCCAAAAATGGGATTTTATTATACCACTGTCTATTTTTGTATGTTTGAAATTTTTTATAACATAAAACAAACACACACACACTCAGAGTGATGAAAAAGGAAAAAAGTGCCTAAATACTTAAAAGTAAACTCACCACTTTAGAATTCTCTTTGTATCGAAAAGCCAGCTGGTAAGCTGCAAATACCAATGGTGGCAATGTGAAGCGAATCCGCTGATTTCCACCAGCTCCAAAATGTTTTCGTGCTGTGTTCAAAATCTGACCCAAAAGCATTAAAGAAAACAAATTTCCAAACTATGATTAATCATTTGTGAAATAAATGTGGGCTCTAATCATCATTGCTAACATTTTGTGAATATATACAATGTACCATAGTTTATGGTAGGCAATTTATATATTTCTTATCTCCTCAAGTTGTCACAACAATTCAGAGACACATACAATTCCATTTCACAAATGGGGAAGTATGAGTTTCAGAGAGGTTGTATAACCTGCCCAAGGTAGTGAGTTAGAAGCAAAGATACATTTAAATATATGTTCATATACACACATGCAAAGTATGCTGCATTGATAAAGAATGTAGGCTCTGGCCAGATGTGGTGACTCATGTGTGTAATCCCAGCACTTTGGGAGGCCAAAGGTGGACAGATAAGTTGAGGTCAGTAGTTCGAGACCAGCCTGGCCAACATAGGTAAACCCCGTCTCTACTGAAAATACAAAAATTAGCTGGGCATGGTGGTGCACACCTGTAATCTCAGCTACTCGGGAGGCTGAGGCAGGAGAATTGCTTGAACCCAGGAGATGGAGGTTGCAGTAGGCTGGGATCATGCCACTGCACTCCAGCCTGGGTGACAGAGCAAGATTCCATCTCAAAAAAAAAAAAAGAGAAAAAAAGAAGGCTGTGAAGACACTCAGAGACTCACATTTAAAAGTAAATCCTAATACTTGTTACATGTGTGGCTTTGGGCAAATTATTTACCTTCTCTTAGCCACAAGTTTCTGTAAACTCCTAGGGTTGTTGGGAAGATCAAGTGACACATGAGGTTTCACCACTACTTAGCACAAGGCATACGCTCAGTAATATTAACTATTACTATGATACAAAACAACTATATGCATATTACTGGTACATCATACCTCCTCATTCCAAAAAATATTAAGACCGAAAAGGCTAATATACTTTAAAAGAGCTACTTGTGAAATATTCCATGAATTCTGTGTTTTTCTTGGATTTTTTTTCTGAAATGGTACAACATATAGCCAATTCAGAAAAATTACAAGAAAAAGAGTTTATAAAATGTTTTTAATATGTGTGACACAATGACATTCAGATTTTGTGAAATTCCTGATACGGCAGATGAATAAGAGAATGCATTTTCCCTCGGGCAGTCAGAGCTAATGACCCTATTATTAAAGATCGTTATACATGGGAATAACCAATCAGCCACATGCAGAAGGCATACTTTTTTTTGAGACAAAGTTTCACTCTTGTTGCCCAGGCTGGAGTGCAATGGCATGATATCCACTCACTGCAACCCCCACCTCCCAGGTTCAAGTGATTCTCCTGCCTCAGTCTCCCTAGCAGGTGGGATTACAGGTGCCTACCACCATGCCTGGCTAGTTTTTTGTATTTTTAGTAGAGATGGGGTTTCACTGTGTTGGTCACGCTGGTCTTGAACTCCAGATCTCAGGTGATCCATCCACCTCAGTCTCCCAAAGTGCTAGGATTACAGGTGCGAGCCACCATGCCCAGCGGGAAGGCATACTTTCTAACTACTACATTTGGTATGCAATAGAAAATGAAAACACACAGACACACACAATCTCACACAGAAACTTAAGGGAAACAGTTAAAATACTCAGTCACTCTGTACAGATGACATAGCTCACAGAGCACAATACCACAGTCCTGGAATGTTTGCTACTAAGCCAAGACAAAGACCATCACACTATCAACAGCAGTCAGCCTCTTATTTCACAATGATTATGAAGAAGTACAGGAGTCTCAACTACAATGAAGAAAGTCAACAGAAAGAGATAAAACAGTCAGGACATCCTCAAGCAAATGTCTTCTTCATCATAGCAGCCTAACAGCCTCATGCATCCAAGAATGGTTAAACTACTTTGCCCAAACAATAATTAAGCAGCCAACCGTGCTAACCCTTCACTAAAATAAATTCTCTATTTAGTATCGATCACTGATACCCTACTCAGGCAACATGCTTTATCCATTTCACAAAGTTTCCCTGTGGACTAATAATAAAGAGAACCTCATGTGATTGTTCTTTATCAGAAAAAAAAAGTTAAGAAAAAGGCAAAATGAATTTTAAAACCTCTCATCAAAAAACAAAAACGCACATTTTCAATGTGACAAATATAATTTATACTTGCAAATTTGGAAAAGTAAAATTAAATGTAAGAATTGTATTTCTTATAAAGTTTATTATAAGCAATACATAGTTCAGAAAAAAATCAACATGGAATAATTATGGGCACTCAAGTAAAAGAAGAGACTTTTTTGTAATTCTCAGATAGTCTTCAAAAGAAATCAAAGCAACTGAATTGTTACTCACATGCTCCAGAAGTTTACAATTATGTTTATATATAAAGTAAAAGCCCACAGATGCTATGAATCTCTTTTTTTTTTCTTTGAGACAGAGTCTCGCTCTGCTGCCCAGACTGGAGTGCAGTGGCGCAATCTCAGCTCACTGCAACCTCTGCCTCCTGGGTTCAAGTCAATCTTTGATTCAGTTGCAATTCCTTCAAAACCGTCTAAGACCAGAAGGTGAATTAAACCATTTTAAGCACTTCAACATGTGATTTCACTAGGAGCTGATACAGGGATATACTAAGAGTAAACTCATACCAAGTACTGCTGGTCAGGGTCCTCAGAGCGCAGCAGATGAATGAAGCGGCCCACAAGGCTCTGCTCATCAGCAAAGTCTTCTGGATCAGGGTCCTCTACAGGCTGATCTGGCTGATCTTGAATCAATGTGGATACCAAATTCATGATGGAATCCACCTGTAACATGCGAGGCACAAGAAACCCACTGACGTGAAACCATTGCCATATAAAGCCACTGTCAAAAGTGTTTCCAGTTATAAAATTACAATACAGTATCAACAAGATATTCCTTTTTTTGGTTAGAAAGTCGATACACATGTATGTCATACACACATAAACGGACAAAAGTCTGGAAAGATATGCACAAAATGTTAATTAACAGTGGTTATTCTCTATCTGGTGGAATTATAAATGTTTTATGATTCTTTATACATCTCCCATTTTCTAATTTATATAATGAATAAGTTACTTGTAAATTTTCTTTAGTATTGAATTACCCTCCCCTCCCATCTCAGGTATCTAGGTCCATAGTCTAAAATTGTAACACTGTTTCCCTAAAATAGCATGGAGGTATTCTCTTACCTGGTCTTGAGAGACAATTTCTGTGTTATAATCCAGAACATTACTAAGCACATAACAACTCATGCTCTTTCTGGACTCATAGTCAAAGTACTCAAAGAGTGGGTGAAAATGTTTTAATTTCAATACTGTTAAAATATTGTTGTAAGTGTCAACTGGTATTTTCAAAAGTCTGGTGAGTTCCTTTGAAACTGCACTACTGGTAGCAATACTACAAAAAGAAAAACAGAAGTCTTAATGAACAAAATTAACTTTCTCTATACACAAATAGCACTTGTTCTGTAAGAATCTGAAATTTTTCATTACACATTAAAGGAAATGGGTCAGGTGAATCATACCACCACAGAAGACTGTAACAACCTCCTTTCAAGAGGATAAAAATGCTTTTCTAAACATAAATACATATATTCATCTATTATTTTTCTGTTGATACAAAACTAGAAACAGTTTCCAACTCATGAACAGATGGTATAGCTGGAGTTAAGATGACTGTCTAGAATTCGATGACATTTCTAAGGGAAGTATTTTAAGTGGTAGTTTGGTTCCCAGGGGGCAGCCAACAAGTATTGTATATTCACGATGAAAATAAATAGGAAAAACAATCCATGCAAAACCAGCAATTTGACACAATAGAAAAATATATAAACTATTTCTTCTGCATCAGATGTTGGTGATTAAGGAAAAGCAGGCTGACTGCCTTAGGTAGTGGTTAGTAAAAGCATTCTGTAGATACTGAGGCATATTGGGGCATTTATTACAACCTCTTTAGAGGTTGTTATTTCCAATGATTTTGTCTATTTTTACTTTAAAATTCACTTGGGGAGAAAGACATAGATACATCATTTAGTTTTTTTATTTAAATTTTTTTAATTTTTAATTTTACTTTTTATTAGAGACAGGGTCTCGCTCTGTTGCCCAGGCTGTTCTCAAACTCCTGGGCTCAAGTGATTCTCCCAACTCAGCCTCCTGAATAGCTGGGATGACAGGTGCAAGCCACCACCCCTGGCACATCATTTAATTTTCGCTCATACTTATTCCATATCTGAACTTGTTTTCCATTCACACACACACAAAACCAAAATGACCAAAAGAAAAAGGGTAACACAAACGGAGGAAAAAAAGAGTAAATTTTCTTGATGCAGGTAAACCACTAGAAGGGAGATAGAAAGGAGGAACATGACATGAGGTAAAATTCTGAAGAATATGGGCAGGGGAGGCAGGCCTGGCTTGAACCAAGTCCAGAGCAGTGGGGAATGGGGCAGGAAGGGAACTGTGGGGGAAGGTAACAGAATCCGAGCTGCCCACAGTGGCCACTACAGGACGCCACAGGTCTAGGACACAACAGCTGAGGAGGTTTCAAGTTGGAAACAGGATTGTTCATACTTCCTTGAAGGTATCAAAATCAAAGCTCAAAATAGAAAAGATATTTAAACCAATTTAATTCTGCACCTTAAATATACATACATCCTTCATTTTTCACCATGTGCTCATTCGTAGGAAAACACCTCTTATGGAAATAAATACTGCCTGAGAAAGTTTTCTTACCAGTTTAGGAACTCATTCACACACAGCAAGCTCGTCCAACCCGCAGCCCACAGGCCGCATGCAGCCCAGCATGGCTTTGAATGCAGCCCAACACAAATTTGTAAGCCTTCTTAAAACATTATCAGTTTTTTGCGACTTTTTTTAAAGCTCATCAGCTATTGTTAGTGATAGTGTATTTTATGTGTGGTCCAAGAAAATGTTTCGTCCAATGTGGCCCAGGGAAACCAAAAGACTAGATGCCCCTGATACACAGAAAGGGATCCAAATTGGAGTCACTGGTCCCTGAAGACTGCCTATGGTCCATAGGTACCACAATTTCATTAATATACACAACCAAGTAATTGGTCACCACTTTCTGCCCCTAGTAGTGCTAAGCGTGACAATCTTAATGCATGATTAAAACAAGACCAATCCAGCAGTTCAAAAAACAATTGAGAAAGAAAAGCAAATCTAGGACAAAAGTGTCTTTATGAGGATTTTTACAAAAATGTAACTGACTTACTGTTCAAGGTTGAGCTTATTGAATATCTCCACTGTTGTTTCTAGAACTTTATCAACATAGTCCACACGATCAGGGTAACATTTCATGGCAAGATTAATGAGAGAGACTTGTAAAGATACAACATCCTCTGAAGGCATGTCTTGTCTAGACTGGAATGTTTAGAAAACCATACAATTTATTTTAAACAATTGTAAAAGGAAGGCAGAGAAGTTTCAAAATTTTGAGAACTTAGGAGAAATGCTACACAAACCTGTATCACTGTAGCTACCTGCTGTGAAAATATATCAAAAAGTTTAATATCCGCTGGGATTCCAGGTCCATCTTCACGGTGAGCAAATAAAGCTAATCTAAAAAAAAAAAAAAAAAAACCCTTTATTTTAAAAGATACAGAGTTTGGGTAGTGAGATCATGGATGACATTTTATTCTTTATTGCTTTTCTATATTTTGTATGAGCCCAAAAGGCTTTTTTTTTTAGACAGAGTCTCACTCTGTCGGCTAGGCTGGAGTGCAGTTGTGTACTCTCAGCTCAATGAAACCTCCACCTGCTGGGCTCAAGCTATCCTCCTCCCAGCTAGGCCTCCTGAGTAGCTGGGGCTAACAGCATGTGCAACCACGCACAGCTAATTTTTGTGCTTTCTGTAGTGATGGGGTATTGCCATGTTGCCCAGGGTGGTACTAACCTGGACTCCAGCAAGCCTCCCTCCTTGGCCTCCCAAAGTGCTGGGATTACAGATGTGAGCCACTGCACCCCAACTCCTCAATTCATTTTTAACTAAACAGTTTTGCCAGTGCAACCTTTTTTCTTCAGCATTCTTATTTCATACTATACTAAGTAGATTTTCAACAAGATAATTCTCTCAAACTCTTTGAAGCATAATTAAGTAGATATGGACAGAAATGCATTAAAGTGACAAATGTATTCAACAACCATGATTCAAATAAATAATCTTTAAAAAATAAAAGTATATAGACTATTTTAAGATACTGCATTTTTACTAAAGTTTGAAATACAACTAAGTCTAAAATTCATAAAATTAACTTTTATTTCCCTCATCTTAAATTACTCAAAATAATGTCTATCTCATTATCATTATCTGTTTGTCACAGTCACAACTACATCCACATTTTGTTATGCCCAGAAGCATCACTACTGACAGAGATGGGTAAGTGACATTACAGGCAACACAGGAAAATCCAGTTGCTAGCTTCCTTTAAGAGTGGGCCCAATCAGTAAGGAATTTTTGCTGCCCAGGATTGAGCTGGTAATTTGGAAAATTTTGTAATCTGAATTCTCAGACTTTAAAATGAATAACTTAGTTTTTCAAAAAACATACAAAAGGTATCTGCAGAAATAAATCTTCACTTAGGTTTCTGGTTTCATGATAATGCTCACAAGTAGTGGGACAGACATTCTGTACTACTACACAACATGGCTGCAAAAAAGTCACCCACTGGCCAAACACAGTGGCTCACGTCTGTAATCCCAGCACTTCAGGAAGCGGAGGCAGGCTGATCATTTGAGCTCAGGAGTTTGAGACCAGCCTGGCCAACCTGGCAAAACCCCGTCTCTACTAAAAATACAAAAATTAGCCCGGCATGGTGATGCATGTCTGTAATCCCAGCTACTCGGGAAGCTGAGACACTAGAACCCCTTGAACCCAGGAGTCGGAAGTTGCAGTGAGCCAAGATAGCACCACTGCACTCTAGCTTGGGTGACGGGGTGGGACTCTGTCTAAAAAAAAAAAAAACTAAGAAAATAAAACTTAAAGTGGATGTACTAAACATATTTGATACTTAAAATTTTTTCTTTAAGAAAATGTGAGGCCGGGCACGGTGGCTCAAGCCTGTAATCCCAGCACTTTGGGAGGCCAAGACGAGCGGATCACGAAGTCAGGAGATCGAGACCATCCTGGATAACACAGTGAAACCCCGTCTCTACTAAAAAATACAAAAAATAGCCGGGCGAAGTGGCGGGCGCCTGTAGTCCCTGCGACTCGGGAGGCTGAGGCAGGAGAATGGCGCAAACCTGAGAGGCGGAGATTGCAGTGAGCTGAGATCCGGCCACTGCACTCCACTCCAGCCTGGGCGACAGCGCGAGACTCTGTCTCAAAAAAAAAAAAAAAAGAAAAAGAAAATGTGGGCCGGGCGCGGTGGCTCAAGCCTGTAATCCCAGCACTTTGGGAGGCCAAGACGGATGGATCATGAGGTTAGAAGATCGAGACCATCCTGGCTAACATGGTGAAACCCCATCTCTACTAAAAAATACAGAAAACTCGCTGGGCGAGGTGGTGGGTGCCTGTAGTCCCAGCTACTCGGGAGGCTGAGGCAGGAGAATGGCGTGAACCTGGGGGGCGGAGCTTGCAGTGAGCTGAGATCTGGCCACCGCACTCCAGCCTGGGAGACAGAGAGAGACTCCGTCTCAAAAAAAAAAAAAAAAAGAAAACGTGATGACAGAGTGATTACTTGAACACTTCCAATCATCTGTATCTTATGGCTACTCTAAACCAAATGAGTTCCTACTGCAAGATACTTACATCACAGTAAAAAACAAATTTTGTTCTTCAATATGATCTCTGGATTTGTACAATTTGAAAAAAAAGTCTGCACAACGTCTTTAAATGTCAATTAAACACACAGAATAAACATCTTATCTTCATGTCTCCTACACATTTAAGTTAAGCCTCTTTCGTGTCTAACCGAGGCAAGTACCTAGTACTCATACTCACAAAGCTACATTATTTATAGTATAATTAAATTAAGATCATTGGTATAAAGATGTAACAGAGACAAATAATTCAAAAAATGTTTAAAATTCATTATTGTCAAGTCCGAGCATGTATCCTCCAGTATTGGAAGGTCTTACCTATCAATTAAAGCAATGATTATGTTTTTCACATTTACATTCTGGTGTAACTCAGCACAGGCCCGAAGAAAAGGATTCAAAGTCTGGAGGTGAAATTCATCAGGGAAAACCTGAAAATCAAATGATCAATACAAGTAAAAGTATTTCACATAATATTCTGAACTCATATGGTAAAGTTCACATTTGTGGGGAAAAAAACACTGTAATCTTATACAACTAAATTTGAACACATTACTTCTGAACCTCTCTACTAAACATAAGCTCAGACAGAAATATTCCAATAAACAAAGTGCACCTACAATTAAACTAAAGCTACAGAGACCAAGAAAACTCAGATGACTCATTCCTACAGTTTGGAGGAAAACAAACCACATTGATACAAAGACCAAGTTGTAAGTCAGAAACAGAAAATCCCTGTTTTTAAATGATTTTTAGAAGAAGCAAGATTACATGGAAAAAAAAATTTTTTTTTAATTATTTTAAGTTTTTATAGAAATGGCATCTTGCTATGTTGCCCAGGCTGGTTTTGAACTCCTGGCCTCAAGAGATCCTCCCACCTTGAACTCAGAAAGTGCTGGGATTACAGATGTGAGTCACCACACCCAGCAAGGAAAATTCTTTATTCAGGAAAGCTTATTTCCTATTCCTTCAAAATTTTTTCAAAACAAACTTAACGAAAGATAAAATAGGTCATTTAAAAAAAATGAAATGTTCCCACCTACCTGAATAATACACTCCATGAGATATTCTTGAGCCAAAGCATCCCTACAGTTTACAACTTGCTCCAATATGCCAGTCAAAACAATCTAAAAGAGAAAAAAACATACATAAGGGTTAAAATCTGTTTTCAAACTCTTAAGCTATTCCTCCAGCAACACATTTGAACTACTAATTTGAAAATCATATTTGAGATTTTTCTCACCAAGACTTCACTTCTAATCTTTAAAAGCTACTTTCTTTTTGAGACAAGGTCTTGTTCTGTTGCCCAGGCTGGAGTGCAATGGCAAAATCTCCACTCAATGCAACGTCCACCTCCTGGGCTCAAGCCATCCTCCCACCTCAAGCCTCCTGAGTAGCTGGGACTACAGGTACATTCCGCCATGCCCAGCTAATTTTGGTGATTTTTGTAGAGATGGGGTCTCTCTATGGTGCTCAGGCTTGTCTCGAACTCCTGGACTCAAGTGATCCATCTGCCTTTGCCTCTCAAAAGTGAGCTTTTTTCTTCATGGCTTGTGCTTGTGCATCCTCAGAAATCTTTGTCTAATCCTAGGTCATAAAGATTTCCTCTGTGTTGGCTGGGCACGGTGGCTCAAGCCTGTAATCCCAGCACTTTGGGAGGCCGAGACGGGCGGATCACGAGGTCAGGAGATCGAGACCATCCTGGCTAACACGGTGAAACCCCATCTCTACTAAAAAAATACAAAAAACTAGCCGGGCGAGGTGGTGGCAGCCTGTAGTCCCAGCTACTCGGGAGGCTGAGGCAGGAGAATGGCGTAAACCCGGGAGGCGGAGCTTGCAGTGAGCTGAGATCCGGCCACTGCACTCCAGCCTGGGCGACAGAGCGAGATTCCGTCTCAAAAAAAAAAAAAAAAAGATTTCCTCTGTGTTTTCTTCTTCTAACAGTTTTAGGTTCTATATTTAGGTCTCTGATAGATTTTGTGCTTTTTCTGTACGGTATAAGGGATGAGGGTCAAGGTTCAGGGTTTTTTGTTGTTTGCATATAAACATCAAATTGTTCCAGAATCACTTGCTGAAAAGATTGCCTTTGTACTTTTATCAAAAATAACTGATCATAAATATCTGGGTCTATTATGGATTGTCTAGTGAGAGATCGGTAAACTGAGCTGCTGCTTGTTTTTACAAATAAAGTTTTACTGGAACACAGCCATGCCCATTCACTTCCATATTGTCTGTGGCTGCTTTTGCACCATATCTGCAGTGTTAGTAGTTGTAGACCAGGGGTGTCCAATCGTTTGGTTTGAAGAAGAATTAGAAGAATTGTCTTGGGCCATACATAAAATACACTAATAACAGAAGATGAGCTTTTTAAAAAAAAAAAAAAAAAATCATGTTTTAAAGTTTACAAACTTGTGTTGGGCCACGTTCCAAGCTGCCCTGGGCCGCAGGTTGGATAAGCTTGTTGTAAGGCATACGTCTTGCAAAGCCAAAAACCATTTATTATTTGGTCCCTCACAGGTAAAGTTTGCCATTCCCTGTTTTATTCTCCTCTATTGATTTGTGTGTCTGTCCTTTTCACCAATACCACACAGGCTCTCACTGTAGCTTTAGAGTAAATCATGAATTCAGATAGTCTGGGTCTTTCAACTTGTTCTTCCTTTTCATATTTGTTGTAGCTGTTCCAGGTTCTTTGTTTCCTCATATAAACTTCAGAATCAGCTTCTTAATTTCTACAAAAGTCTGCTGGGATTTTGTCTGAGATTACATTGGATCTATAGATCAATTTTTTTTTTTAATGCTATCTTGACAATATTAAGTCTTCCAATCCACAAACATTGCATATATATCTTTCCATTTAAGTCTTCTTCAATAAAAGCCATTTTAAGATGTTTTTCAATGTACTATTACGTAACAAAAATATTCTGATTTTAAAAATCAGATTTCATTTTATCTCAGAACATAAGAAGAGGTAACAAAAAGATACAAACCTGTTTGTAACGTTCCACATTGACACCTTCCAACTGACTGAGGCGCACCAAATTTGTTCCCACTAAAATTCTCAGTTCTTGTCTTTCTCGTTCTCTTTTTTCTCTATCTCGGCTATGTCCCTGATGCTGCATTCGCACCCAGAGTTTGTTCATTTCTGCAAAGTTGAGTAGTACAAAATCCATGGAATCACTGATGTCACCAGTTGTTTCTTCGCTGCAAAGAAACAGAAAAGTCTTTACATAGTATTTACAGAACCAACTTACTACTATCCCTCTCCTCTGTGCATTTCCTACTTATCTCTGTAGTACACCAATGCTTTATAAAAAATCACTTTCAACTTCATTGGCTTAGTCTTAAATTTCAAAGGGAACAGACTCTAGGGTAAAAAGTACCATGGAAAGGACACTATAAATTTAAAGGGCAAATTACTTTCCCCAACTCTGTATCTGGAGTTGGGCCAACTGGACTTGCTCTTATGGCAAATTCCTTAATTCAAAATGCTAGAAGGATGGGCATAGTGGCTCATGTCTGTAATCCAGTGCTTTGGGAGGCCAAAGCAGGAAGATCGCTTTAGGCGAGGAGTTTAAAACCTGCCTGGGCAACATAATGAGACCTCACCCCTACAAACCAAAACCAAAAACAAAACGCTAAAAATTTCAACACTTATGGTGTATAGCTAACTACATCATTTTACTGTTGAATATTTTGTTTTTAATTGGAATGTAAGTTTTGTGAGGGAAGAGACCATGGATTTCCTGCTTTATTTTTCTACATCTCCTAGGATGGAGACTTCGGCAGCTTTCAAAAATTTTTATTGATTGCCTAATTAAATGCTCAAAATGGACAGTCAAAACATAATAAAGCAAATAACTTCCATCGATTTCTCTACACTGTTAATTTTGTATCTTTTCTGTACTGTTTAAAAAGAAATTGATGCAGATATATTAAAAACCATTGAATTGTACATCTCAGAAATAAATGATTTAAAAAAAAATCTGTTGGAGCAAACTGGAAAAAGATTAAAAATTAAAAAAAGAAAATAAATGATTAAACTTTTTAAAAAAGGAACGAAGTTCTTTAATCTGAGGACCTGTCATGTGAACAGCTTACCCCACTGAAGACCACAGTTGGCTGACCATCTGCCCCTGCTGTGGGATAAAAGTACAGTAGACTTTGATGCTAGAATACTGATTACACAAGAGAAAGGAGTGTCTCTGAATGGCTTTTATTATTTCTCTTCTGGAGTTAATAGGTAACTTGTAACAGATAACTCAAATCACTTATATTCCAAGGTAACTAGCACTCTATAAATTATAAAAACTGATAGACATTAAAGGAACAATTATGAAATCCAGCGGGCTCACACTTTATTATTTCATTACAAATTCAATTTCCAAATATAACCCTCTTAAAAAAATTGTATTTTCAAAGAATATTTAATGTAGTGCAAAAATGCTCAATTACATTAGCTGAAAAAAGCAGGTCCTAAAAATCCAAAGATAAAATTTGCATAAGAGGACATTGTAGAGCATGCTACATATACTGAGGAGTTCTATATTACAAAGGAAATCTCTATACAAATGCTACCTAAATGGCTGACTGGGTGGAAGAATTATTCATACTTACTTTCTGTACATGTTCCCACATTTTTATACATTCTACAACGAAAAAAATGCTGCAACAAAATCAAGAAAGTCACTTACTCTGTTGGCTCTCCTTCATCAGGTAAGATATTTCTGGTACACTGAAGAAGGTAATTTCGAAGAAACAGACCCCTCAAGGGATGCTGCACACCACGGCACATTTCTACCAAATCTTTCAAAATATCCTTCCTGGACTGAGGAAATGACTTGACATATACAACTCCAACTGTGATCAAAAGGTAACTAGGAGAAGTATGAAGAAATGCTGATTATAAATAAAATATTCAAATCAAGAACTTATTTCCAAAAACACTGAACAAAACATTAAATAAACAAGATAGGAACCATGTTGTTTTCTCCTGCATGACAAGGAAAATATCTGATTTAAAATATAACCACTGATCTCTAAAAATACATACACACACACACTTATACTGTACATACACAACATAGATATTACCTTTAAACATATTAGGAAGAGAACAATTATATTAATTTTTCTAACAGTCAAGACATTAAACAAAATAGCAAGCATGTACATTTTTTCTATTTCTAAAATTCCTCAAATACCTACATAAAACGTAAATCTAGTTACTCTAAAAACAAATAAGAGAGTATCTACCAAAATGTTAATCTCTATTTGTTAAGAAATTACCCTTAAAACTTTTTCTTAAGCTGATAATGATAAAGGACATAACATAAAGTGGGAAATACAGACACAAAAGTCCTCCGATTTGTTATTACTTACAGCCTTGGGATAATGTTTCCAGCATACTGTACAAGTTCATAGAGATCTGCCACTTTCCTTCCTTTAGCAAACTCATCTGTCAGGTAGACCTCCAAGTAGTGCAGTTCATCAGAAATGGCCATATCTTTTAATTATGATTAAGGACTAAAAATAAAGATAAGTCAACCTAAGCAAAACTTTGAAACTTGGTGGAGTCATTGAAACTTGATGGAGTCATTATTAACTACTGGGCAGGTATCTTAAGTTTTAGTCTTTTAAGAGAGTGTTCAAGCGAAGGCAGAATTTTAGTCGGGCTTTTCTTACTTTAAAATAAGGGGTTTAAAGCATGTGTGGTGAAGCAAAGCAGTAAATACAACGGTTACCTGTCAGACTGTTAATGGGTTTTGAAATGGCAAATGATTAAAATTCCTGTCCATTTGAGGCTGCTGCGTAATAATATCTAAGTATTAAAGAACCAACTGCGTCATAGCCTGAATATCCTCATGAAGGGTCTGAAAATTGAGATGCACCGACAACACACTGAAAGACATTGAGGCATAGGAAAGGAGTACTCTCCAAGTGTTTTTCTCACTTAGCACATCTGCATGGAGGAGTGCCATGTGACTCAGATAAGGAAGTAACTCCAGACAAACTTCATAAAGAACAAACAAAATTATCCTTATCAAGAAAAAGGTATGGTCCAAATGTCTTCAACATTCAAAAGATACAAAGTTCATAGTAGCTCTTTGGTGATAACATAGAAGTCCGGAGTTCACCAAGCATATTAGAAGCATGTTTTAGAGCATCCATAAGCTTGTTTTTGTCCTACAGAAATACCAAGAGAATAGATGAGAATGCTTAATTTAAATAAACATTTATCTTGGTTGTACAAACTCCTTACATCAAGGACTTGTTACATAGTTTTAAAAGTGTACAGCACTTAAATGATTTTTAACCACATAAAAAAATCAACTTAGATCAGTTCACTTTGCAGTCCCTACTGAAAAAGAAAAAGATCCATAATACTTAGTAGAGTTCACATAGCTAAGACAGCAAGCTACTTGATAGAATGTTAATCTTTTCAATCTATAGAGACTAGGAAACTAGCTCCATTCATCACATTTTACCTGCAATTAAAAGAACTGGCATACTGATTCAGGTGAAGGAAGATACTATCCTGACATGGCTTTGTCATGGGTTAAAGACTCTTCAGAGCTGTCTGAAATGACTATTCATGTAAGTTTGCTTTCTTCTTACATATTTCAAACCCTCACAATGCCCATATGTTCCACTTAACTCAGAAATGCAAGCAATTCCTTGAGATAGAGGAAACACTATCCATACCCAGGAAGAGGAAGAAACAAGCAATAGCAAAACCATCTTCTCCATTCCAAGACATTTATTTTTCATTCCCAACTTGTTGGGAATGAAACCAATAAAAGATACAAGAGCATATTACTGTGCTTTGGAAAACATAGTAAGACATTTTACAAAGGTAAGACAGCATCATCTTCATCACAGTAATTTATAGCTTGAAGTACCAACCAATTTGGCTCAATTCCTTATCTTTTAATCCAGAGAATCTACAGTATCTACACAGATTCCCTCTTTATCTTTTAGAATATGAAAATATATAAATAAGTGTTAAGTATAATTTTAAAGCTATATTCTATAATAAATATATCTATTCAGGAAAGAAATTAAAGTTTTCAAGATATTTAGAAAAAAAAGCTGAATAATTCAAATGCAAAGCATTTAAATTCATTCATTCAACAAACATTTACAGGGTACCTGTTATACGTTAAGTACTCCTCAGGTCCGAGGTATAGAACCAAGGAGGCTAGTAATTCTGGTCAGACACTGGTGTGGTAATATTACAGTAATGCGTAAATAAAAGGAAGGGTCTCTTGTTCTTATGAGCATGTATTCTAGTAGGGAAGACAGACAATCCCAAACCAAAAATATACATGTGAGTAAACAGGGCCTCTTTGTTGGAATTGCTCCACACAGTGCTTGAGGAAGATGAGACTGAAGATAGATGCTGGGGGACAGTGAAGATTAGATGTACCAGAAACAGTGGTGCCACCTAACTCTAGAAAACACTGCACATGCTTCCCTAGGAACACACGAACTGCAACTGTGCCTCCCATATTTCCATTCTTACCAGGCATCTCTTCATTTGGAATGACTGGACCTTTACAGCCTGTATGGCTTCATCCAAGAGCTTTTCCTGCTCATCCTGAGGGGACTGCTGTGTTGTAGGCTGAAAAATAAAAAATTCCACTGATGTCTCGGGCACATTCTTCTAGTAAATATGTTATTTCTATAGTCTAGCCATAGTCCTCCAAGACTGTCACAAAAGGATCAATCCAGCTCTATACCTCAGACCCATTTACCAATTATTTTGTTTTTTGTTTTTGAGACGGAGTCTCACTCTGTGCCCAGGCTGGAGTGCAGTGGTGCGATCTTGGCTCACTGCAAGCTCCACCTCCCAGGTTCAAGCCATTCTCTTGCCTCAGCCTCCCGAGTAGCTGGGGCTACAGGCGGCCACCACCATGCCCGGCTAATTTTTTTTGTATTTTTAGTAGAGACGGGGTTTCACCGTGTTAGCCAGGATGGTCTCGATCTCCTGACCTCGTGATCCGCCTGCCTCGACCTCCCAAAGTTCTGGAATTATAGGCATGAGCCACCGCGCCTGGCCCATTTACCAATTATTAACAGCTGCTGCACACAGAGCCATGCCCCATCACTGAAGTTAACAGAATAAGACTGACAAAGGAGAACAGTATGTGTACAGAGAATTGCCTCTCTCTCAGAAACTGACTCAACATTGTTGTAGTAGGCTGGCATCAAAGAAACTTGCGGTGGTAGTTCATGGCTGTGTTCTGCTAACACACTCTGAATCCAGCCCAGACACAGCCACCCAACCAATCGAAATCTTGTGATAGGTATAGCCGAAACCATTCTCTAAAGCCTCTCTTTTCCCCTAGACTACTTATCATCTGCATTTCAGTCTATTCTTAGACAGACTAAGGAACTAGTTTACAAGAACACTGACCAGCCCCTCCTTGGCAATATATAATAAGACTAAACAGCCTAGAAATAAAATAGCCGAAAGTGTTAGTGACTTATAGTAGAAAACAATAAAGAGCACTGTCCTCAAATAGTTTACATCATTTCAAATGTACTGATCTACAGCTACAGTGGACAAAATATGTCTAGACACTCTTCTCTTTCCCATCAGCAAAAGTCTGCTTGCAAAATGAATTCGATCTCCCTGCCAAGAAGAATTAACCACTTCTTCAAGTCATATAAACACTGTTTACATCTCCACCACAGCATGCATCACATTATCATTATAAATGATGGTCATTTTTACATCCTTGGGACCCAACACACTGCTTGACACATAATGGGTGCTCCATAAATGTTCACTGCATAAATGAATACACTGGTTTTAGAATGTTTAGATATTTAACAAAAAAATGACTGAATAATTAATGGATGAATAAACAAATTGTGGTACATATATACAATTACAGAATATTATTCAACCATAAAAAGGAATGAAGTATTGCTACATGAACAAACCTAGAAAACATCATGCTAAATGAAAGAAGCTAGACACAAAAAGCCATATGTTGTATGATTCCTCTTAAATGAAATATTCTGTACAGGAACAGAAAGTAGACTGCTGATTACCAGGAGGGAGGCTGAGAGGAATAATCGCTTAATGGGTACTGGGTTTCTTTTGGGGGTAGGGAAAATGTTTTAAAACCAAAGGTGGTGATTGTACAGTATTGTGAGCACACTAAATGCCACTAAATTGTTCACTTTAAAATCGTTAATTTTACGTTATGTCATTTCACTTTTATTTTTTAAAACAATGACTAAAGACAAAATGCCTCTCACACAATGAGTTGAAGAGGTGGAAGGCAAGGACTTACACATCAACCTGCAAGTAAAATCTAGTCTGTTTCATTAACTAAGAAAAGCAAAACAACATTTCATTTTGAGATTAACAAAGAAACATGAGTCACATAAAACCCACGTCTGAACTATGCTAGTAGTTTTTCAATTTTTCAATTTTTATAAAAATTGAAAACTTTCTCTTGTTTTAATTTTGGAAAGAGAAAAATATTAACTGAATAATGAGCAATGCCATGCATCTCCCCTTTTTTTCCCATGACTAACTCTAGTAAACTGAGCTCTGCTGCAAGCACTCTCCCTCAGAAGCACAAACAAATTTCAAAGAAAAAGTTAGGTATCTTTTAAACTTCACTTAAAGGGAACATGAATTTATCCCAGCAGAACTATTACCATAAAATGCTAGTTTCAGAGGCAAGGATGACCACCAGCATTTAAAGATTCTGACTTAATGAAATTTACTACTCATCATGGGCTAGTCTTCTCTGAACTTTAGTGAAACCAGGCCATCATTTGGAATATTTTGGCTCCTTACCTCTGGATGCAATAGATTTAATAATAATTTGAATCAATGGATTTCATTAAGTTCAACTGATCCATTTAGAGATAAACAGAGATACATCTGAATTTTTTTTATTTTTCTTTATGATACATCTGGATATTTTAATTAAAAATGACTTACTATAGTGGTAAAATGTACGTAAAATTTACCATTTTAACCACATTTAAATGTGCAGTTCGGTGGCATTAAGTTAAGTACATCCACATTAATACAGTCACCACCATCTATCTATAAAACTTTTTATCTTTACAAACGCAAATGGAAAGTAGCCATTAAACTCCCATTCCGATCCCCCAGGCAATCCTACCTTCTTTTCTCTGAGTTTGACTACTCTATATACTTCATATAAGTGAAATCACACAATATTTTTCCTTTTATGTCTCACTTATTTCACTGACTATAGTATCTTCAATGTTCATCCATGTTGCAGTATGTGTCAGAATTTCCCTCCTTTTAAAAACGAAATATTTCATTATATATCTATATATATATACACACATACTACATTTTGTTTATCCATTGACATGTAGGTTGTTTCCATCTTTTGGCTGTTGTGTACGATAATTTTTATTACATAGCAAATGAAACTGTGGCTACAAAGAGGTTACAAACAGTTACAAAAACATTTGTATAGAATGACTAGAAAGATTTAGAGATGTACAAACAAAGGAATGCAATTTTAGGAAAATTCTTCTATTTTGTCTCAACTGGGCTTAAAATAGAAATGTAAATACAAAATGTTGAAGATTACAGAATGACTTATTACAAAGTAAGCTACAAATGAAGACAAAAAGCTATAGTAATGCGGTCTATTTTTATATATTACTCATAAAACAGTGTAGTTATGCTAGCAACAGCTATTCTAAGGGCTATTCTTGATGCCTTCCTAGGAAGGGTCACATAGAGCCTTAACAATTATAATATGAACACGCTATCATTAAACACGAGTCAATTAACCAATGTTTTTCCTCAATCATTAAAGTAATTTTCCATTTGTAAATGACTGTACTTTACAGCTACACGGATCAGAAGAAAATGGAAATCCTACAGAATGGGGATCAAATTAACATTTGTGATTAGGCCCATTTTAGCTTGAGACCCACAAACAGCCCTCTCAAGACTACAGTTATAAGGTGCAGAGCAAAGCAAAGGTCATCATGAACTGATCACTTGGAAAACTACTCTCCATTCAAACAATGTGCTTTTGTTTCCTCTTCTATGAAACAGAGATGAGAGCACCCCCACCACTGTTATGAAGAACAAATGAAACCAAAGCTCAAAAGGTGCCTACTACTTAGTAATAAGCACTTAATAAGTGCTACAATTATTATTCAGTTTAGATACAAATAATTATCTCCACTTACGTCAGAAACCTATTGCGGTTCAACCTCCCTGCTCATAATGCTGTAGATGTAATCTGACAGTACAACGTAAACCAAATGTAACACTCATCTCTTCAAACAAAGATACAGAATATCATGTTAATGAAAGAACTATTTTAAAAATGACAGGGCATACAATAACAACTGAAGTAGAGAGAAATAAGGATGATGAGGGCATAAGAACTTCAAAATGTAATTTGAACACCAAATGGCTCTAACTTCATTTCCAATACATATCCCCAAGAATCCTTTGATGGAGCACACTGAACATTCTGGCTTCATCTATTAGCAATACCTTTTCTTTCCACCTGGAGAATTTCTGTCCACCCTCTTTATAGTCTCAGTTCACGTTACTTCCTGTAGTTCTTCCCAAAATCCCCAGGCAAAACTATCCCTCCATAACCCCAAAGCACTGAGTTGACAATGTTAGTAAAGCAATACACACACTGTATTACAGTTAAGTTCTACAAGCTTATCTCCCACAGTAGCCTCTTAAGTTCGACATTGGAACCCAGTGCCACAGTCCGTGACACTAAAGGCACACAAGATGTTTGATGAATTGAAGTGGATTCTAGAAGTTTAGGGCTTGGAAGGGCCAAAAGGGCCAACACTTTCTTTCGGATGCAAAAGTGAGACACCAAGAAGACTAAACGATCTGCCTAAATTATAGACAGTGACTGTGAAAGAACGAATACTCAAGTTTCCTTTCCCAGTAAAATTCATGAGGACAAGATTGTGTGTCTGGCTGATTGCTCCCAACTGGTTCACCCAACAAAGAATCGGAGTGTGTAATACATCCTAAATTAAGTGTTTTCCATTACAAAACAATATAAATGTCAATCCATAAACGCTGGGAAACACACAAATCCTAAAGTTAAATTTTGCGCCGGTCTTGTTTCAATTCCCAATTGCAAATATTCTGAGAAACAGACAAAAATCACCTTGTAAGGCAATGTTATATGAAAATACTATTTGTAAAACACTTAATCCTTTCCGGCACTAAGACAGTTAAAGTGAAATCTGTTTCCAGGCTTACAGATTTACAGAAGCCTGTCTACACAAAGTAAGATAATTAAAGCGGACATACAGTATATACTCAAAAAATTTATTTGCACAGTGCAGGCTATGTCAAACGCTAATAAAATGCAAGTGACAACTTGCCTTTGTGGGAACCAGACACAAAGATTCACATTTTGAGGAAGTTCAAGTTTACCGGCCAACAGCCACACCACGATTTGCTGCCGTCATAGAGGGGCCCTAAGGGGAAGGACTGCTTCCAGCAAGTCAAATACTTGGATTTCATCAACGGAGAGACAAAAGAGCCAAGGTGCGCCCAACGCACAAATGCTAAAGGAAACAATCAGTCTCCTTTCCGACCGTCAGGATTAGAAGACAGCCTGATTCCTTCCAGGAAATTCATGTAAGCAGGTCCCCAGAACTCGCTGACAAACACTGCAGCCGAAGGCGGGTATGAGGCCAAGAAAAGCCAAGGAACCACCGCGACCCCTCCAGGAGGGCGTGAGGACGGCCGAGCACAACTAGGCACAAAGGTAGAAACGCCAACATCTGGGCGGGTCCCGGCGCCAACTCCGATCTCAGGGCCTCCGCGCGCCCTGGGGGCCAGATGCTCAGACCTTGGACTAAGGGTCCCCTCGTGGCGGGCAGGCGGCCGATTCCACTTAAAGGAGGCCGCAGGCCTTCATGGACCCCAAAGCCTACAGGCCAAGTCACCCCCACAGAGAGGCCGCCCCGTCTCTCAGCAACGGCCGCAGCCAGGAGCCGCCGCCCACCCCGGCCCGGATCAGCCTGCCCGCGGCCTTTCTCCTCCTGTCCCCTATCCCGCAGGCCAAATCGGGCTGGTCTTAGTCCCGAACGGTCTTTGGGGCCTCTTCTCCACTCGCTGGGGTCCGGGGCGGTGGGAGAGAGCAGGGGCTACAAGGAGGGTCGGCTAGGGTGCTACTGCCCCCTCAACACTCACCATGGCGACTCCCCAGAGCCTGCAGCAAGGAGCACCCACCCCGCGCGGAGCCTTCCGCGGTCATGTGACGCTGCGGCCCCTCCAAGCCCCGCCCTCTCTAGCCCCACCCCCGGGCCCTACAGGCTGCTCATTGATTGGCCTACTTCTAGGAACCGAAGTCTCGCGTGCTTATTGGCCCCGGCCACTTAACGCTAGATGGACAGACCTGGGCGCCAGCCAATCTCACCACAGCATGTGAGAGTGGGCGGTCGGTGCCGCGCAGTGGGGATCCCCCGGCGGCAGACAGGAGACAACAGGAGGGAAAGGCAGTGTGTGATGAGTTTGTCTAGAAGAAAGGAATGGAAGGAGGGAAAGCCTACAAGTCCACATTCACCATATCTGCCTTGGCGAGTGGGCTAGTGATGCGCATGCGCAAAAGGAAGACCCTGATTGGCTTGTGGGACGGTCTCAACGTCCTGTCCCAACCAATCCACATGCGCCGGGGGTGGGGACTGGCTCTCACTGGCTGGTGCAGCCTTTGCGCGCGGGTTTCATTGCCCCGCGGCTTTCGCCCGAGTTGTTCGCTTTAGTGCTGGCGCTATGGGGTCGGAGCTGATCCGACGCCTAGGCCGGCGCCTGGGCCTTGCCGAGCCCGATGTGCTGAGGTGAGTTCGGCCGCGCAAGACCAGGGCTGGGCTCCCGCCTCGCGGCCCTGGGCCCTCAGGCGAGGCCGGCGCCCTTCCCAGGCGTCGGGCGGCGCGGAAGTGACGGGGAGTGCTGGGGCCGTGCGGGGTTTAGGGCCTACTTCAAGAGAAACTTCCCGGCCATAAGCTTGAATGAGATGGCAAGAAGGGCGATAGCAAACGGTGATGGCCAACGTCCCTGGGAACAGCCAGCCCTGTCCGCGGGTAGCACGGTGGTAGAAAAATGAGCCAGGGAGAACCTTGCCGCTCATTCCGCCAACGCCTACTGCAGTCGGGTTTACAGCAGAGAACCCGACAACGCGGCGCAGACTCCGCTGTCTATAAGGTCGAGGACCTTAACCGGGCAGTGTGCCAGAACCACTGGGCGTGGGGTGGAGCGCGGCCTAGCGGCTGCCTTTAACAAAACAACAACAAAAACTCGGAAAAGCGGGCGCTGCTCCCGCTGAGGCCAGATTGATGGCAGGTGCTAGGCGAGGAAAGATATGGCAAGAGCTGCCCAGGCAGGGACGACAGCTCCTGCAAAAGCCTTGAGATGGGAAGCGGGATCCGGGGTTCGAAATAAAGCCATGGTAGCTAAAACGTGGAGCAGTCAGGCGAGGGAAGGCAAGGAATAGAGCACTTAAAAGATTTGAAGACACACCTGCAAGACTCGGTAGTCGTTTAGAACAGTGGTTCTCAAAATGTGGTTCCTGGGCCAGCAACAGCCATATCATCTTGTCTCTTGTTAGAAATAGAAATTCTTCGGTCCCATCTCAAGCCTACTGATCAGTAACTGGGCCTGGGACCCAGTAATTTGTTTTCACAAGCCCCCAAGGTGATTCTCGCCTACAATCAAGTTTAAGAACTACTGATTTAAAGGAAATAGGAGGAAAGGAAGAACCCTGGTCTAACCTGCCTGCCTCTGTGATCATGCTTGTTCCAGTAATGGAAGGAGGAAAGAAGGGTTATTTTTTTGTCGAAATTTAACTTCCTTTTGCCTGAAAGCATTTGAGCACAGTGAAGTTTGGTGTCAGTGCCGGTTCTGTCTTCCTCTCCCTAGAGGTATGACCTTCATTCCCAGCCCCAGATAAACGTGCCACAGGAGTTAAGTTTAGTGTGAAGCTCACCAGGCTGTATTCATTGTTTACCAACGTGTTGAGCAAACTTCTGAATAAGTTGTAGCAAACACACTGCCCTTTTAACCAGGAAAGCAGAGGAGTACTTGCGCCTGTCCCGGGTGAAGTGTGTCGGCCTCTCTGCGCGCACCACGGAGACCAGCAGTGCAGTCATGTGCCTGGACCTTGCAGCTTCCTGGATGAAGTGTCCCTTGGACAGGGTAAGTAGGTCCCACCGAATGTCTGAATAATCCAGTGTAACAGTGAAGCTCGTTTAACTTTTGGTTGAACTAAACCCCAGTAAAATCCCTTGTTTTAGATTGGTCTGGCTATTCTTGTATGTTATTCTGGAAATACTGTAGAATCATTTTGCTTTGGAAAAAAATTTTGCCATGTTTTCTTTACTCATCACTGTTTTCCCTGACCACCTCTTTCTCGGCTGGAGGCCATCTTCCACATTGCTGCTAGCATTACCCTCCTTTTAAAGCACGTCCAAACCCCTGTGCTTTTCTTCCAGTGTCACAGTGTTTGAGAGAACAAGCTTTGGAGTCAGGAGGAGTTGCGTGCTGAGATCAAATCTCCATACTAGCTAGTTCTGTTAGCCTCCAGTGTCCTCATCCATAAAGTGAAGATAAAATCCAATTTCGCTGGATTATTGTGAGGAGGATTAAACGTATATAACACCGTTAACACGGTACCTGTGTCATAATGTTACACTCATTAAATGGTAATATTAAAAACAAAGCTTTGTTGATGACCATCAAACCCTCCAGCCTCTCTTGAATCCTGGCCTCAAGCTACAGTATTCACTTAACAGACTCTTCACTTCAATGATTTGTGGCTTTGAAAATGCAATACCTTGTTTTTTCCTGCAGTACTCTTCTGGTAAACTCCTATTTGTCTTACATGACCCTGTCTTATTGTTACATTGAAACTTTACTCAAGTCTCCCAGACAGAGCTGGTTTCCCACAGTGGAGCCTCCTGTTTCTTTTCCTACTTTCCTTTTCCTCTTTCACACACACACACACACACCACCCCATCCCGTCCGTCCCTACTCCACTTCCACTACTACTTTCCTTCCTTTTCCCAATAAATAATAGTTAGCACCTTTGTATAAACCCAAGTAACCATATATGTGTTTCCTGTGGTTTTTTACTGCCTGTTTGACTATGTTAGTATTGTGTTATAATTTTAAATCATCTGTGCATATGCATGACTGCCTGCTTTTGTACAGTTTGAACTCTTTGAAAGCAGTACTTCCTCAGCCTGACATGATTACCAATTTTTTGACTAAATGAAGCTAAACCTTTAGGTATTAAGGTTTGCCACAAAATTCATTTTGAAAAGTTATACTGCTTATTAAACAAGTGTTTAAGGGTACTAATATATAGAATGTAAAGTTTTTATGATTTGTGTATGTGTGTTTCCTTTCACAGGCTTATTTAATTAAACTTTCTGGTTTGAACAAGAAGACATATCAGAGCTGTCTTAAATCGTTTGAGTGTTTACTGGGCCTGAATTCAAATATTGGAATAAGAGACCTAGCTGTACAGTTTAGCTGTACAGAAGCAGTGAATATGGCTTCAAAGATACTAAAAAGGTATGGGGCATAAAGAACCTTAACTGAAAATGTATACCAATAGGCGGGGTGTGGTGGCTCACACCTGTAATCCCAGCACTTTGGGAGGCCGAGTAGGGTGGATCATGTGGTCAGGAGTTCAAGACCAGCCTGGCCAATGTGATGAAACCCCATTTCTACTAAAAATACAAAAATTAGCTGGGCATGGTGTCATGCACCTGTAATCCCAGCTACTCAGGAGGCTGTGACAGGAGAATTGCTTGAACCCAGGAGGTGGAGGTTGCAGTAAGCCAAGATTGCATCACTGCACTCCAGCCTGGATGACAAAGCAAGACTTCATAGTGGGGGGTGGGGAGTGGGGCGTGACCAGAAAATTTATACTGATGGATACAAATTATCCGTTGTTCTATTCTGGTTAATTTTCAGTCTTAAAAAAATAACTATGGCCGGGCGCAGTGGCTCACGCCTGTAATCCCAGCACTTTGGGAGGCCGAGGCGGGCGGATCACAAGGTCAGGAGATCGAGACCATGGTGAAACCTCGTCTCTTCTAAAAATAGAAAAAATTAGCCGGGCGCAGTGGCGGGCGCCTGTAGTCCCAGCTACTCAGGAGGCTGAGGCAGGAGAATGGCGTGAACCCGGGAGGCGGAGCTTGCAGTGAGCCGAGATTGCGCCACTGCACTCCAGCCTGGGCGACAGAGCAAGACTCCGTCTCAAAAAAAAAAAAAAAAAAAAAAAACCTCATGTTAAGTGACAGCACACATATCTCATCCGTTTTAAAAGCTTGTAAGTTCTGGTTTGCACTTTCAATCTCTTTTCAAATAATATTTTCTAACAGATAATTCTGCAATAACTTCTCCTTTAGCTATGAGTCCAATCTTCCCCAGACACAGCAAGTAGATCTTGACTTATCCAGGCCACTTTTCACTTCTGCTGCACTGCTTTCAGCATGCAAGTAAGTATTTTATTAAACATTCAGTAAAGTTACCAATTTACAAGTTGGTTTTTCATCCCCAAGGAATACTTCTAATTTAGTTGATACCAATTCAGAGCATATTTTCCCCTAGAAATAATATTAGGAATATTGGCCAAGTGACCATATTCCTAGTTTATCCCATAATGTAGTTAACAGCTTGGAACTAGTGTGGTCAGAATTCCACCAGCCAAATAGCAGCTGTATACATATGCTGGGAATTCTGATTTCAGTCTGCCTTTTATAAGAGATGATATCTCTTATAAAAGAGATATCATTAAAACAATCTTCATATGTGATTTTCTGCTCATATATTTTTAAAAGTACTGGCTGGGCCAGGCATGGTGGTTCCTGCCTGGAATCCCAACACTTTGGGAGGTCGAGGCAGGAGGACTGCTTGAGGCAAGGAGTTCAAGACTAGCCTAGACAACATAGTAAGACCCGAATCTCTTAAGAAAAAAAAAAAAATAGCTGGGTGTCAACGCATGCCTCTAGTCCTGGCTTCTCAGCTACTCAGGAGGCTGAGGCTGAATTCTCACTGGAGCCTAGGAGTTCTTGGTTATAGTGAACTGTGGTCATGCTACTACACTGCAGCCTAGGCAACACAGCAACACCCTGTCTCTAAAAAAAAAAAAAGCACTGGCTACAACTGTTCTTCAAGGAATTTATAACATATTTTAGTGATAAATTCTCACATCTGAATCTTAGAATTGTGGGTTATCTATGTGTATACTGAAATGTTACCTTGGAAATATTAGTAATAGTTGATATCTTTGTCTAAAATTGTCTTGTTTTTATCTTGCCAGAAAACACCTTAGAAAACAAAATGTAGTTGGCCCTTAAAGAATGGATTTCTCACTACCTACTCACTAATTTTGGTATGCTTGGCTCTATTAGCTACATACCTAGGAGTATTAATTGGCATTTGTAGAAAACATCTCTTCAATTCAACAAAAGTATGTGCATATAAAGAGGGAATGTAGCTGTTATTGTAGAAAACAGTGAGACTAGTCAACCCTACTTTTGAAACCATATTATGCTGAGTAAGAAAAGGTCTTGACAGGT